ATGGGAATTTTTCATAGGTGGAAATTATTCAATCTGTGTAAGATTAGAAAACTTAATGCAAGAAGGATGTTCAAAGCAATGTACTTTGAATTTGAGACTTCGTTTCCATAGAGTTGATCTCTATTGGAATACTTTGTAATGAATCTTGATAAGTCTCTGTGACTTTGTGCATAATCATTACAAGAGGATCAGTGCATATAAGTTTAGAATCTAACAGATTTAGGTAAATGGCAAGAATTTGGAATTCTTGCATTTGTAGTAAGGAATTGGGATTGTGAAATGATAATCATTGGAACTATGTTCAATCGATCTATTTCACAAATTAAAGACCATAGGAAAACATAGTGTGTATACTTGGTGTATGGCATAACTAGTATTTAGAAAACATAGTGTACATGCTTGGAGCGTAAGACAACTATTGTTTTAATTCAAGTATAAAGTTGATAATTTGAAACAGTATACAATGAATAATCTGTAATCAATATGGTGATAAATAAAAGTTGTTCTATTTATATTCATAAGTTCTGTGACCATATTGGATTCGATTATTCTTGTGTTTCACTTTGCATGTTTTCACTTCCAGAATAACTAGGTTATTCTTTCCGAATGACTAAGTTATTTAAACTCTCCACAGTTAGTCATATGTTGGAAGTAGGTATGAATTAAGATTGTCATGAATTGGGTTTGTAGATGTCTAAAATTTGATTATGTTTACAACATCCCTTTTCGTAATCTGAATTATGAGAACATTTATAGCAAAAGACTGGTATAGTATCATGTCTTTATGTGAGACATCATCGTGTCCTATATGCTCCTGATATAGGATCGATTACATGTGCTATAATATTCACCCTTTCTAAATTTTCCAATGCTCAGGGCATTAAGAAGGGAAAAGTCTAGAATTGGATATGACTAAAATGATTAAGCAATTGTCGAGGACAATCTAAGGTTTACCAAATATTGGTTGCTCAGGGACAGTTGGAACCAATCTTTGGTAAACCTTAGATTGTCCTCGACAATTGCTTAATCATTTTAGTCATATCCAATTCTAGACTTTTTCCTTCTTAATGCCCTGAGCATTGGAAAATTTAGAAAGGATGAATATTATAGCACATGCAATCGATCCTATATCGGGAGCATATAGGACACGATGATGTCTCACATAAAGACATGATACTAGACCAGTCTTTTGCTATAAATGTTCTCAGAATTCAGAGTACAATCCCAGGGTTCTCAAAGAGGAAATCATGTGTGTGCGATACGCTGCTACCCTATCGGCTCCTTCCCCTTAGCTGAAGAGGTACTTAAAATCAAAACTAAAAACTGTAAGAACGAAGCTTAGTGAGTTCCCTCATCATACCACATACCATACAAACATACATACTGTCGGGCAATTATAGGGTTCCCGACCTACCCATGTCAAGCCATTATGGGGTGCTGACCTACCCTCCGTTCTATCTCACCCGGTCATGGGGACTATTTCACCCCTACTACTATCACATAATAACATATCATAAACATGTTGTCAAACATATCTAGGGTGTCCGACCTACCCTTCGGTCCTAACGACCGAATTAGGGGACTATTCCCCTCTTACCACCACTATCACTTCTATTGAAGGGTAACTCACCTCAACGTCGTGTAGTGTCTGCACTGTCCTCGGTGTGAAAATCGTCTCTCCCTGACTCCTCAATCCCTACACAACAACTTTTCTAAGATATCAATTCATACTCATAACCCTTACAATAGTCGCTCAAATCCAAGTCAAAGTTAAAGTTAGAATCATGGTTAAAGTCAACATCTGGTTGACTCGACTCGTTGAGTTGGTCCACGAACTCGTCGAGTCTCCATATCAACAAAATGTCATAATCCCGTCCCTAGTCGTCGAGTCTAGCAAGAGCTCGACGAGTTCGCCTTCAACAACACTTTATACTATATTCAACCAACTCGCCGAGTTCGTCCTTGAACTCGTCGAGTTCATCTTCATCCATAAGAAGGTGTTCAGTCTATGACTCGCCGAGTCTATCTTCATGTGGTTGGGACATTTCCTTGAACTCGCCGATTTTGTTCATCCACTTGTCGAGTTCTATGACTTCCACGTCCCTAGCGAACCTAAACATTTGGGGAACCTTCGATCTTAGCATCTGGTCCATAAACAGAAAGGATTTGGTGGAAAATACACCCCGACTCGTCGAGTTCCATGAACGACTCGCCGAGTCCCTCTTTTTCCAAAACTATACAGTCGATTATAATGGGTCTTAACGTATCAAAACCATAGATCTGGCCTCCTACGGTCCATTTTATACGTAAAGCTACAAACTTGATGTCCATGCATGGGGCCTTTGGCTCAAAAAGCCATAAAAAGAGGTCTACAAGATGCATGGGTCTCCCATGGCCATAAAGTTGCACCTTTATGCCATGGGAACCCTCAATGGTTCCAGATCTGAAGCACAAACTTACTTCTACATCCAATCCCGAATATAGCTTCACTAATGCTTAGAAAAATGTAGAAAATAGCCTAAAATTAAGATCTAAGAAATGAATAGCAAGGGTTTCAGCTTTATACCTCAAATAAGCTGGAAATGTGCCCAAAACTCTGGATCTTCTTGCTTCTCCTTGATCTCACAAGCTTCCTTCTTCTCTTCAAATTTCAACCACACAAAAATGGCACCACAAAGCTCAAGAACACTCAATAAATGGCTAGGGTTTTGAGCTAGGGTTTTCTCTGGGTTGGGAGGGACGATGGGGGTTGGGTTGGGTTGTTATAAGGTGTTTAAATAGGATGCAAACCCAAATATTAGGGTTTCATCCAGACAGTCCTACTCGCCGAGTTGGTCTCCCGACTTGTCGAGTATGTCACTTAAACTCCCAATCAAAAGTCGAGTCTACTCAACGAGTTGGGCCTCCAACTCGCCGAGTCCTAAAGTAAATTACAAAATTACTTGAATTTAAATACATACCAGAAACCGGGTGTCACAGTACAAATACAGTTACTACCTTGGTGATGAGATATACCCAAATTATTCTACATTGATGAATGCATACTCGATTCTTCGAAGTGAAAATGCAAAGTTGTTTACAAAAAAATGAATCGGTGAGAAAGGATATCGAGAGGGCATTTGGAGTCCTCAAGCAGATATGACATTTGTGAAATATATTACACGACTCTGGGATAAAGAAAGAATTAAATGAATAGTCCTAAAATGTATTATAATGCATAATATGATTATTAAAGATGACGGCCGAATGATTTGTACGTATGATCCGAACGACATTGTCATTCCGATTGAGGAGTTCAGACCCGGAACGGATGAGTTTTTAGAGCGAGTTGTTGAAATTCATAAAAGTGAAACGTGTTTCAATCTTCGAGAAAATATCGCGGAACATTTGTATCAACGTAACATGAACAATATTAGTTTTTTTTATATGTATGTAATGTTCTTTTATTTCTAGATTAATTAGGTAATGTAGTTTTAAGTTGTAATTTTATTTTTTATAATTAATGAAAAACTAGTTAAAAAATGAATGTTTTTTTAATTATTAGAAATCTAATTTTATTGTAATTTTGAATTAAAAAATAATAATGATATGGAGTGGTGTGTTAATTATATATCTCATATTAGTGGTAGGATATGATGTCGATGTGAAATCCATCACATATGTAACATGAAGTACATATAAGAGGTAGTCTAAGTTTAAAATCCATTCTAAACATAGGAAATAAAATAGTGACTCATTGAATACTATTAAAAGATGAATATCTTAAAAGAACGAATTAAAATTATTGATAGTCACATTCAATGTTGATTTTTTTTTTTTTTTTTTAATTTCATCTTCTACGAAAAAAGCACATTCGTTTAACAAATATTACGGAGCTTAGTAATTCATAGGTTCGTTGTTGTAACTTCGAAAATATCCACATTTAATGGTTTATATATTCAAATGATTGAAATGTACGTTTTTGGAGTTTAGTAGTGTGGACGTCCACAAAGACATCCGATTTTTTGCTAGAAACTTTATTTAGTGCATGCCCTTCATTCTTAAGGCATTCTTGTAACAAAATTTCAACTTTGAGAAGAAAAAACATAAGAAAATCATGTTCGTTTATTACTATATACATAATACATAACATTGTGTCCGGAGTATTTTTATTATTGAAAATATAAAAACGTATGTACTATCAAAAGAAAATTCTAAAAGGGAAGTTTTAGAATTCTCATTTCCATTCACTCTCCCTTTCTTTGTAAATTTTACTTTGATAGCACAGGTCAGTGTTGCTGAGTAGAGTTAGGAAAGCGTAGGAATCACATGGAGGGCAGATGTTAGGTGCACGTTAGTAGATGTGTAGGTAAATTTTAAGTTAAAAATGGTCTCTTATAATAATAATCATTAAAATAATAATACTTTATAATACATTTTGACGGTATCAAGTCGTACATTTGGTCTTTAATTGATAGTACAATTAGTTTAAGTTGTAGACCTATAATGCATTAATGCACTTTAAAAAACTTACAATATTAGATCATATATAAAATATGATCATAAAACGTTAAAGATGTTATAAAAATATATAAAAAAATAGTAGTTTTTTCTAACTAGAAATCATTATTATTAATCAATTGGTTAAATAAATAAACAATTTGGTACTTGTTGTGTTTTAGTGAGTTGATTGATTATCTCATGGGTACAGATAATCCTTTTTGTCTAAACTTATTAAATTAAACACTTAATAAATATTACTTCTTTATTTATGATTGATTTTGGACAAATTATGTATGAATCTCTTTATCTAAGTAGAGCATTCTTTCTGAAATTTAACAAATCGACTTATCAGTTAATTATTAGGAAAAAGATGGGCACCCATCTTTTCTCTACCAAAGAATAAGGAAAAATATATTAAAAAAAAACACCATGCCCAAAATATCCCTGATTTTTAAATTAATAGTTTCTTCTTATAAAGTTAAAAGTAAAGGAACAAAAAGACTTTTAATGGAGGAGGTGAGATTTGTAAATATTAAAAGTACATGGGTGTAAGAAGATACATCAGTGGTCCAAAAATAAAAGCTCACAAACATAACCCCATTAGTTTTCATAAATGGATCAATCACCCCCTGTATATTTATATCTACATAGCTCCCCCACTTGAGCCTTTTATGTTTCCCTCTTCCTTTTTCCAAAAAACCAGACGACAAAAAATCACAACGATCCACAATCCACCTGAAACCCCAAAATCATCTACAAACACAGATCAAATCGATTTTTATTGAGAAAACTTCACACAGAATTCAAGAATTTCTAGGGTTTCGATGATTGAGTGAGGTACATAGAGGTGTAATCGTTTTGGGTTTTATTGATTTTGGTTTCCAGTCAATGCGTCAGAAGAAAACCGGCCTTCAGATCGGAGAAGAACGAAGCTCTTCCGATTCAAAAACTCCACAATTTCAATTCCAAGAAAACACGAATTTCAAAGCCAACTACGCATCAAGGATCCCCCATCTTCAAATCCAAATACCAACAAAAGATTATAATGAACAACGACCTACCTTCAAGCAAAACGCAACAACAACAGCAACAACCACCAACACCCAGAAAACTCTTATTTCAAATCCTCAGAAAAGACCTGTAGTTATGAGTCCCCAACAGAAAACTTCATCCCATCATCACCACCACCACCATCACCCGTACAACCACCCACGAAGAGCTTCTCATCAGAAGTCTTTAATTTGTTGTTCATCTTCTGAAGCCCTTTTAGCCACCAAGACAGTTGCTCTAAAACTGTTGAAGTTTACTCACGTTAAGCTTTTCTGGGTTAAAGTCCCTTTCAGGGTTTTAATCCTTCTCTTTTTGCCTTCAATTTATTACTTCTCTTTGAGCTATCGCTCCTTTTATCTCTACATACTCTTTCTTATTGCCTTCTGTAGCGTTCTTTTATCTTCATTTAATATTAACAGTTTTCATACCACTAACCTCCCATCAATCCGATTATTCGTCGCCCGAAATTTCCCAAATCTGAAGCTTTACAAATCAGATAACGCATCAACAACACACCCACCAGTTGTTTGGTCAATTGGGTCAAAGACCCAATTAGAGGAAAACACAAATTCAGGGTTCTTGGTGAAGGTATACAGCAATGGCGATGTTTATGAGGGTGAATTTTATAAAGGGAAGTGTTCTGGAAGTGGGGTTTATTACTACAACTTAAATGGGAGATACGAAGGCGATTGGGTTGACCAAAAGTACGATGGATATGGTGTTGAAACTTGGGCAAAAGGAAGCCGATATAGAGGACAGTATAGGCAAGGATTGAGACATGGTTATGGAGTTTACAGATTCTACACTGGAGATATGTACGCCGGAGAGTGGTTAAAGGGACAGTGCCATGGGTGTGGAGTTCATACTTGTGAAGATGGAAGCAAATATGCTGGCGAATTCAAAGGAGGCATCAAACATGGGCTTGGCCACTACCATTTCAGGTAAAGTTTTTCAACCTAACTTCTTGAATCTTCATAGCACTTCACAATCTTGAATCCCACTAACATCCATGTGCCTTCTTTGTCGATTGGCTATTTCTTTAAACTCACTTCAAATCTAATTCATTTGAGATACAATAACAATAGTTTTGCTTATAATATTGACATCAATATGTTTTTGAATCACATCTACCCTACAAAATACAGAGATTAGTAAAATCTAGCACTCAACCCATCTAACAGAAATATGAATTCATTCTACCATTGATATTATTTACAAAGTGATTGATTGAGGTTATGTGATGATGCAGAAACGGGGACACATATGCTGGAGAATATTTTGCAGACAAGATGCATGGTTTTGGTGTGTATCGATTTGCAAATGGACACAGATATGAAGGTGCTTGGCATGAAGGAAGAAGACAAGGTTGTGGTATGTATACTTTCAGAAATGGTGAGACTCAATCAGGTCAATGGGATAATGGAGTTATAAGTGTTTCAACTTCTCAAAATCCATTTCTTTCATCTGTTTCTCATGCCAAAGTCCTTAAAGCAGTCCAGGTACTCATTCTTTCCACATTAAGTCAAAAAGAAACAGTAGTCATATAGCTTAACTCTAAACAAAAAAAACTATTTTGTAAATAGGAAGCAAGACGTATAGCTGAGAAAGCGTTAGCTGTTGCTGACGTGGACGAGAGGGTGAACAGGGCGGTGACTGCGGCTAACCGGGCGGCCAACGCAGCCAGAGTGGCGGCAGTTAAGGCGGTCCAAAACCGAATGCATCAGCATGATGATGGTGATGATGTGCCACTAGACATTGTCTGATTTCATCTCTTTTTAGAGAGAGAGAAAAAAAAAGAAAAGAAAATGGAAATGGGTGGTGGTGCAAGGAGGTGGTGCCGCCTGGAACCGCAATCAGATTAGAATATTGAAGGTGCTGATTGAGGAGCAAATGGTATCCCTCTTGCTTCTAGCTACTAAAAATAAGCAATGATGTTTATATATATATATATATATATATATATATATATATATATATATATATATATATATAAATATGATGATATATGTTGCTATTACTACCACTACTACTACTTCTAGGTTTATGGGTTTAAAGAGCACTAAAGTGCTTCTTTTGGGTTTTTTTTTTTTCTTTATCGGAAGGATATCTGAGGAAGGGGTTAATTGCAGCTGCATAGCCCATCAAGATTCATGAGAATTAGGATGCCTTTTTCTTGTCCTTTGCCTTTGTAAAATGTAAATGTTTGTGCCTTTACTTGAAGAAAAACAAAATCAGCATCATCATCATAGTTTCTTTTTCTAGTGTTGTATTTTGGTTTTTTTGGTTTCTACGAATGTAATCTTTTCCTTGTGGCTTTTTATATATTATATCACTCTATGTACGGATCTTATTGTATGTGGGTCCGACATGTTTGACTGTTTGGTATTTGACAAAAACTTCAAAATCGTGTGTATGTGTTTTGAATAAAGATAAGAGTTAAAATTACAACCAGCATGGACATCCATGGGATATTGGGATTTGATGTTAGATGTTCGTGTTGGGGATATGAATGACACACGATTTATAAGATGCTAAGAAAATTATAGAATACACAAGAATTTATTGCAAAACAATCGGTTGGGGGTGATTGTGGTGTGTTATGTCCTTCGGATTTTTTATTTTTATTTTTTTAATTCTTGACCTTATCCTGTTCCTCATGAATCTTGATCTTCAATAAAATCTTACTTACGCATCAACAGAATCTTCAACACAATAAAGAAAATGCTAAATTATGTTGGAGATATATATTATATTGATACTTTAAGCAATTTCGTAGGTCATCTACCTACTATTTTGCAAAACTAACCCCTTTTTTCTTACTCTTATCACTTGTCTTTAAAGATTGATAAATTTTACCCAATTAATATAATATATTTCTTTTGTCTTCACACTGATATCATATATTCAAAAATCAAAATTGAGGGCTAGTTGGACTGTTACAAGGTGAAAAGAAATAAAAGGAAAGCTAAGTGAAAAAAGTGAGGAAGTTAGGTTTTGTAATTTTGTTATTATTGTGTATATATATATATATATATATATATATATATATATATATATATATATATATATATATATATATATATATATATATATATATCACACATAAAGTTAGGGTAGAAAATAGAGACGATTTTATTATTATATTTTTTTTTTTATAAAATCTTATCATTCATTCATTTCCTTTCTTTCCAAAATATAAAGGAGTTTTTTTTAAAGAAAGAACCATAAAATTTTCCTCATTTATTTCCTTTTGCTCCTAAAATCTTTTTATTTTTGTAACCTATTTGGACCGTAACAAAAATTAGCAAAACATATAGCTACAAAATAAGGGAGTATCATGTTTTTCTTGTGAAAGATTTTGATTAAACTTTATCTATTATCAAATATTTATCTTTAGAATCCTATAAGTCTAATTATAATAATGAAAAAAAAAAACTTTTTTTTTTTATGTATTTTATTAATTTAGATATTTAATTAGTTATTTGATTATCGTTTCCATTTTGGAAATAGATGGGATTACCGGTTTTCAAATTTTATAAAACCCAAAATGCCTCCATATAAATACGGAACTTAGTCTAGGGTTTCAGCTCCCTCTCCGCCGTTGCTCTCTCTTCTCTGCATATTGGTCGCTTTTCTTTTCCGATCTTGCAAGATGGTAAGAGTTCTATCTCTCTGAGAATAACATCTTAATTCTCCTTCAATACCACATTTCCATTGCTTTGTTGTTTAATCCTTTCCTATTACACTATAATTTTGTTATCTATTTTTGGATCAACTTAGGGTTTGTAAATCGAACATTTTGTATCAACATACGAGTCATAATATGAAATTGCAAAATATTACATTTTACATATCTCGTCCATGGTTTTATTTACTTCTCCCTAAATATTGAATCTCAGACAAAGAGGACGAAGAAGGCTGGAATCGTAGGAAAGTATGGTACGTATTCTCTTCTCCATCATCTCATTGCTTTTTTTTTTTTTTTTTTTACTTTGCTATAGTGATTCTAATTTTGATTTTACACTTTCTACTTGTATAGGTACCCGTTATGGTGCTAGTTTGAGAAAGCAAATCAAGAAAATGGAAGTCAGCCAGCACAGCAAATATTTCTGTGAATTCTGTGGCAAGGTATATGAGACTCCTCTTTCTAGTTTTCGTTCGTCAATTTTTATTCTACTGTTGAAATTTGTTTCTACTTGAACAACAACACAAACAGTATGCAGTGAAGAGAAAGGCTGTTGGTATTTGGGGTTGCAAGGACTGTGGAAAAGTCAAAGCAGGGGGTGCATACACCTTGAAGTAAGTAGTAGTAACACACAATCCCCTTTTAACATCATCATCATAACTTGCGTTATACAAAATACTGATGATTTTGTTTTGTGAAACAGTACTGCAAGTGCTGTAACAGTGAGGAGCACAATCCGAAGGCTGAGGGAGCAGACTGAGAGTTAAGTGTGCATCTCTGTTTTGAATTTGTTGGAACACTGTTATCCTACTTTCCCTTTCATGTCAATTTACCTTTTTTAATCGTAGCTAAATTATGTGTTAGACTGATTAATTTGTTGCATCAATTGATATATGGTTATTTGGAAACACGGCATACACACACACACACACACCAAAACAATGGATCTTGACTGAAAACTACACGCCAGCGTATGTGTCTCTGATTCTGCTTCGTTATATTGTTACTCAAACGCACAATGCAAGAAATCAATGAATGAATTGGTGATTTCACCATAAAATGATTCGATCATGTAAATAGTTACAAATTTCATTACATGGGTGGAGTGCTTAATTCCTAATTATTATGTTATTGTAAAAGCCAAAAGGGTATGTATGATTAAAAAAAAAAAAAAAAAAAAAAAAAACATATTTCTGTCGATGATCTCACTAGCAAGCAAAACTTAATCAGATTTCAAATGAACTAGAATTAAATTTAAGGTTTAAAACAATGCATAATAATGGAAGAAGGCATAAATGTATGTAAGATTGATTGTTAATTGGTATAAAGATTCAAGAAGTTGAGGATGAAAACTAAACTTGACCTGAAAAGATAGTTGCGAAGCCCACGATTCAAACCACCTTTGTATTCGCGAGAATACTTGTTTCCTATAAACCTGATTCAGACCCTATGTAGACTTTATTAATCCTATAAACCTGATGAGGGCTTTTTCTTTTTTTTAAAGTCGGGTGTGATCACTCTTATTATAAGCTTGCAATTCTATTCCCATTTCACCTCATTAGGTGATGTGGGATGACTGTTTTGCATTTTATTTTGTAGTTTTTATACATTACGTACTATTTCTTTTACTCACTGGCAATGTGGGACGGATCCTAATTGAAATCTTTTGGCGTGCATGGATTTCATAACACATTATCTTTTAAAGTTGTGCATTTCTCTTATAAGTAAAAACCTTTTCCCTTCTTAAATTTTGGTTAATGTCATATCGGAAATCCATTCAAATGTCAAATTTTTGACACTCGAATAAGAAATTGTTACTTACTATTATTAATATCATGTTATTTTTATAACCAATTTAAGTATAAATATGAACCTAATTTTATAACTTATACACAACTACACACATTTGTTTCTCATATTCTGATTTATTTTCTCCAACAATGGAGGAAAACACAAACGATATATGCAAACACAACAACTTTGAGATTTGAGCAATACGATTCTAATTTCAAAAAACCTAATCCAAATTCTACCATTTCAACAAAAGGATAATCCAGAAAAATATTAATATATTAATTGTATACATAGGTTAATTAAATAAAAAAATAACTATAAAGGTCAAATTATCTGAAAACTTTGTATTTATAAGAAAAAAAAAACACAATGAATTATTATAATGAAAATGTTTTTTTATCTTTTAAATTTAAACAAATGATTTAAATAAATAAACAAAATATTATGTTAAATTTATTACTATACTTATTTCAATTATTATATTAAAATATTATGTTAAATTTAATAAATAAATAAAAACTCATAAAATGACATTTGGAAAAACAATTAATTCAAAATAATTATAAAATAACATTTGACAAATTAAATGAGAGTGACAAATGACAAAAAATATTTATTTATTATAGTAGATTATGTACCTTCACGACAAAGACCTCGAGATGTTTTCAATAAAAATGGAGATTCTGGAAAAATATATAAATAATATTTAATTTTTTACATTATTTTTTATATAATGTCTTGTTAAAAAAATATATATTTTGATTCTGATTACTTGTTTGCATATTTTTTTTTATCTAAGTATATGTATTAAATAATTAAAATTATTGTGGTAGCCCTATTAAGGCTACACGGAGTGTAGCGGGAAGTAGCTACCGAAACCGAACCCACACCTCAGAATACAACACCGAGGGTGCGGGATAACGTGTGTGGGAACCGAGTGGAGGGAAGAGACCCTGCGTTCTCTCTCCTGATTTCATTTGTTGATTTTTTTTTTCTTTCGAGAGAGAATTTATCCAAACTTTGAACAACAATTCATCCAAACTTTGAACTACATGATAATAATCGATGATACGTGAAGGAGATAGAGAGAGAGAGAGAGAGAGAGAGAGAGAGAGAGAGAGATAAACGGTTGCTAAAACCACCTTTAAATCTATATTATTCTCTCATGTAAACTTATTATCTTTAATATCTTGCTAATAAATTTAAGTTTTAAAGTACATGTGTTTGATTTTTATAAGATCAAATCTGTTTTCGCATTTTCACAAAATATTTATGTTTTCGCATAAACCTACTTGTGTGTGTGTGTGTGTGTGTGTGTGTGTATATATATATATATATATATATATATATATATATAAATCTTTTTATCACTCTATAAATACCAAACCAACCCAACTTTAGTTTTATACCATTTCTACATATTCTATACAAAAAAACCCACTAAAAAAAGAAAATCGCCGTTGCGTAGAAATCGCGAAGCCGGACACGATCGTATTATAGAAGACTATTTTGCAGATGACGTCGTGTACGCTAAAAAGTTTCAACGGCGGTTCCGAATGAGGAAGGAGTTATTCTTAAGTATTGTTGGCAATTTGGAAGGTCATTTTCCATATTTCCAATGGACACAGGATGCTAGACGCAGAAAAGGTTTCTCTCCAATTTAGAAATGCACAGCCGCAATTCGTCGGTTAGCATACGACATGGGCACAGACAAATGGATATACGAGTGTACCATACAGGAATGCATGTACAAGTTCTTTGAAAACTATTACTTTGGTTTACGGGCGACAATATTTGTGCAAACCAACTATGAACGATGTCTACCAATTGTACACGGTACATGAAAGCACGCTTGGGTTCCCAGGAATGTTAGGTAGTATCCATTGCATGCATTGGACTTGGCCATTGTGCCCCAATGCATGGCATGGTCAGTACATGTGAGGCGACCACAAAGAGTTGACGATTGTTCTAGAAGTAATTGCATCACATAATCTTTGGATATTGCCTGCATTATTTGGTTTAGCTGGTGCAAACAACAACATCAATGTTCTGGACCAGTTTTCTGTAACATTCGTAATTTGGTATGTTTCCTTTTTAACCCTTAATGCAAAATTCCTCTCAATTTAGTCCCTAGCTAGTACGTGGGGCGTACTCCATGAGTACGCTTAGCATACTAGCCCATTTCTGGATTGT